TGAGATTGTCAGAGACAGTGCGATTGGCACAGGACAGAGCGGAGTTTAGGGCTGTTGTACATAGGGTCGCTATGAGTCGCAAGTGACTCGACGGCACATAACAACAACAACAACAATTGATCTTCTGCAGCAAGCACTTTAAGTCCTCCTCACTTTCAGCAAGCAAGTTTGTGTCCCTGCCATAATGAAGGTTATTGAGTCTTCCTTTGATCCTGATACCACATTCGTCTTCATAAAGTACAGCTTCTCGAATAGTTTGTTCAGTATACAGATTGAATAGATACGGGGAAAGGATACAGCATAGATGTATACCTTCCCTGATATTAAGCCATGAAGCATTCCTTCATTCTGTTTGGACAACAGCTTCTTGGTCTAGGTATAGGTTTCAAATGAGCATAATTAAGTGTTCTGGGATTCCCATTCATCTCATTGCTAGCCATAACTTGTTATGATCCCCACAGTCAAATGCTTTCACAAAGTCAATATGGCACAAATAGATATTCTACTGATACTCTTTACTTTCAGTGAAGGTCCATCTGTCATCAGCAATGAAATCCCCAGGGTCAGGGCCTCTTCTAAATTCAGCTTGAATGTCTGGCAGTTCTCTATGTATTGTTCTAGTAGTTTTTTTAATGCTCTTCAGCAGTATTTTGCCTGCATGTGCTGCTATTAATGATATCATTCTATAACTGAGTACTTACTAATGTAAGTAACTAGAACCTACTGAACCCAGGAGTATAAGGCCACACCAAGTCATTAAATCTTCACAATAATAATTCTAGCCCCAAAGAGACACTTGAGGGAGGTCTCATGACTCACTGAAGATTCCCTAGTTAGTATGCATTTTACCATGGCCCAACAGTAACGAATTGTGCTCCAATTTAGAAGGCACACAGCTCAAACCCACTAGCTGCTCCATGGGAGAAAGACAGGCAATCTCCTCCTGTGTAATTTACAGGCCCTGAAAACCTACTGGAGGGTCAATGGTACATAGCAACAACAACATCATTACTGTGTGTAGGTTCAAACTTTTTCTGCAAGGAAAAAAAAAGTCTGTGAGATTCCAAACCTTTTCCCCATAAGCCCTGGGCTGTTCCCTTCAGGGTCCTACCTGGCGAAAAAGGCTTACCTAGAGCAGAAAACACCAGGAAGATGTTTGTGTTTTAATGACTATGTAAAGGCATTTTGACTGTGTGAATCATAACAAATTATAGTTAACACTGGAGAAGAGGAATCCCAGAATACTTAATTGTGTCCATGAGAAACCTATATATAGGCCAAGAAGCTGTTGTTCAAACAGAACAAGGAAACATTGAATGGATTAAAATAAAAACAGGTATGGGTCAGGATTGTATTATTAGAGCCATTCAAAGCATATGTTGAGCAAATCATTCAGGAAGCTGGACTCAGGATTGAAGAAGACTCATCAACAAGCTCTGCTATGCAAAAAAACCAACAAAAAACTAACAAATCAAACATCAAAACCCCCCCCATCATACAGAAATTAAACAGGACTTGAAGTATGTGCTGCAAAAAGATCAAAATGGATTACACCTGAACATAAATAAAACAAAAATCGTCTCCACTGGATCAACAGATAACATCATGACAGATGAAAAAGATCGAAGTTACTAAGCATTTCATTTTTCTTAGAGCCACAATGAACACCTATGGTAACAACAGTCAAGAAATCAAAAGAGGTGTTACAATGGGAAAATCTGCTGTCAAGGATCGCTCCAAAATGTTAAAAAGCAAGGATGTCATTTTAAAGACTAAGGTGCACCTGAGGAGCCAAACTATGATTTTTTTTTCTCTCCCTAATTGCTACCTATGCCTCTGAAAGTTGAAGTAGAACAATGAATAAGGATGATAGAAGAATAATCAATGTCTCTGCATTGCGGTGTGGCGAATACATCTGTCTTGGAAGAAGTGCAAGCAGGGGAATCCTTAAGGCCAAAGAGGGTGAAACTTGATGGTCTTGAACTAAAGATGGTATCACATACTTTGGGCATATTGTTAGGAGGGGGCCAGTTTTTAGAAAAAAGACATTCTGTTGGGAAACGTGGAGGAGTAGAGAAAGAGAGGATGACTCTCATCAAGACTGATACAATGATTGTGGCAATGGGCTCAAGTTTGTCAAGGGGTAAGGACCGCGCAGAGTAAGACAGGGTTCTGATCTGTTGTTCATAGGATCGCTATGAGTCGTACGGCAACTAAGAAGAAAAGTATTCTAGAAGTGCCATAATATACCTTCGCTACAACTGTACACAAGAGAAAGATCTTGCCCAAGTTTAAGAAAACTTAAGGCAAGGAGGTAATTAAAGCCGTGGGTCTCTAACTTCAAGGTAGAGAGCAGACGAACAGAAGTGCAGTTGGTTTGAATGCTTCTATTCAAATCCTGCCAGGCTCCACCGCCCCTAATAAGCTTTTATAAAACCGAGACTACTGCAGAAAGGTCGGCCCTCGTGTCTCAAGACACTTGTCTTGATCTACGGTGCCATGACCAAGGAAGGATTCACAATGACCCTCCCTTCTTTCTGGCTAGCTCACCCACCTCCGGCTCCTCGACCGCTCCTGCAGGTGCGGGCCCCATCACTTCAGGTCCCTCTCCAACACGTGATTCATTCAAGTTTGGTCCGCACGGAAAAACCACCCACGTGAGCGGAAGTGTGAACTCAAAATCAATGAGATTCCAGGCCCTTAAGACTCACCCAGCTCCAGAACCATTGAGCTTGTGCCCGAATACTCGCTTACCATTGGTCCGTCTCTCTTCAGGGCTGCTCATTGGCTAAGACATCAGCCAGGTTCTCTCATTTACGGCCTTTTTGCGACACTAGGCAGGAAGTCTGATTTTAGCTGGGCGTGGCCTCCTTTCTCTCACTTCCTTCACTAAGATAGAGAAGGGAGGGGCGGAGTTAGTTTAGCCCTTTTGGGGACGTATGTTTGTTTATACTAATGATTGACGTTTGTGTGCTTGGCCTGGCAGCAGTTATGTTTTGTGCTTCGAGTCACTGTCACTATGAGTCTCAGCAATGGGGCACCTTAGAATAACAGCATATGTAAGACAAAGTTCAAGTGCCTGGTGACCAAAACGTGCTGGAAGCGTTCATGGATGCTTTTACAGCCTAGGTTTATCATCTATTAGAAAAAATTACTTCACAGAGGTTTATTCTACTTCTGACTTATTCACCATCTAAAATTGCATGCCGCTGTTCGAATCCACCAGATGCTTTAATGGAGAAGGGGGGGGGGACAATCTCCACCAATCAGATCTGATGTGACGGTGCACACAAAAAAAATAATTGAAATTTTTAAAAAAAAAAATAAAATTGCATGCCAACCAAACATTTTTGGTTGTAGCCCTTCCCCTTTGGTCTACTTACTTGACACTAAAACTTGCAACAATATTATTTATTAACTGCTTTTTGTCTAAATGAGCCTCACCTGCTAACACTCATCATTTCTGTATCCTTCACTGCTATATCGCTGTCATGTAGTTCTGGGCCTGTATACAACCGTTGTTGTTAGGTGCTGTTGAGTCCTGTAAGATTCCTATCTAAAACTTGTTCTATCTTGCACCATCCTCACACTTCCTGACACACAAGAACCAATTGCAGCTGTCACCGTGTCAGTCCACCTGGTTGAGGGTCTTCCTCACCTTCACCGACCCTCCACCCTTACTAGCATCATGTCCTTCTCCAAGGAATAGCCCCTATACAATTATTTGCTGAATGAAGAACTGAATTAGTGACTCAAGAGTACCGCAGAGGCTTGCAGAAGGAAGTAAATATTGGTAGTATAGACTGGGAAGTGCTGTGATAAGCACGGGATGCCAAGGGCAAATCGTTGTTGTTATGTGCCATCAAGAGTTGCCTGCAACTCATAGTGACTATGTGCAATACATCTGAACTCTGTCCTGAGCCAGTCTCACTGTCTCCAATATACCTACCCCCATTATCCCAGATACTACGTCAATCCATATCATCTGGAGTCCCTTTCTCATACTCTATCCCTCTAATTTTCCAAGCATGACGTCTTTCTTCAGGGACGAGTCTCACCTGGCCATTTTTAGGCAAAGGATCTTACTGTATGGTAGATAATAGCAGTCACATTAGCATAGGATGGTTAAGATTCAACTCCAGGTTCTGCCATTTACTAATAGTATGACTTTGGGCAGCTTTCTTAATCTCTTTAAACCTGGTTTTTTGCTATTGTTCAGAATTCTAATCCTGAACAGAACAGAACGAAGTACTCACTGCTCAGTCTATAGTATCCTTACAGTCCTTTTGCTATGTTTGAGGCCATGGTCAGAGCCACTGTGTTAATTCATCTCATTGCAGGTCTTACTCTTTTTCTCTCACCCACAGCATTAGCAAGCATGACATCTTTCTCCAAGGGCTGATTCCTCTGAATAGCAAGTCCGAAGTATGTGAGATGAAAGTCAAGCCAACCTTTTTTCCAACGAGCATCTGGATGTACATCCTCCAGGGCACATACTTGTTCAGTATTCTTTACCAACACCAGGATTCAAACATAAATTCTTCTTCAGTCTTTCTTACTTATAGCCCAGTTTCCCCATGCATATAAGGCAATTGAAAATATCATGACTTGAGTCAAATATAGTTTAGTCTTCAAACTGACATCTTTCCTTTACACTTTAAAGAGGTCTTTGCAGTACATGTACCCAATGCAACACATTGATTTCTTGACTCTGCTCTTTCCAAGGGCATTTGATTGTGGCTCCAAGTAAAATTAAAACATTAACAACTTTAATGTATTTTCTGTTTATCTTGATGTTATTTACTGGTTCTTGTTTTGCTATACTTTGCCATGTAATTCATCTTAAAGGCTGTAATCTTTAATCTCCATTAGTAAGTGCTTCACTTTCAACAATAAAGATTGTGTCATCTACAGATCACAGTTTTTAAATGAATCTTCCTCCAATCCTGATGCTGGGTTCTTCATATTCTCAGATTATTCGCTCAGCATGTAGATGGAATTGCATGGTGAAAGGATAGAACTCTGATGCGTAATTTTCTTGATTTTTAAACCATAATATATCTGCTTGTTCTATTAGAATGACTAGCTCGGTCTATAAAAAGGCTCTGCATGAGAACAGTTTGAAGCATTTTCATTCTCAGTCTTCCAAATAGTGTCATCCATAATTTATTGTGATCTACCAAGTTGAATGTGTTTTCCTAATCAATAAAATGCAGTAGGATATGAAGATGAAATGCTCATCACATGGTGATGCTCAATGAATGTTGGCTATTTCTGTTACAGGAAGACTGTAATTCCTTAAGTGCCCAAGTCTTGTAGGGTTTTTTTTAAGGTATAATTCCATTTTTTTTCTTTCAGATTAATTTTTCTTCAGTCTTTAATGATCAAATTCTTATATAGGCTTTAGTGGAGGTCATAGGGCAGAACCTGCAGGTCTAAATTGGAGTTTCAAGAGACCTAGTCCAGTGAATGGCACAACACACAATACATAGTAGAGGCTCATATACAGCTTGGGAAACACATATTCATCAAAGACATTGGCTTTGGAAATGTCCTTCATAGCTGAAGTGTTGATCAGATTTCAAATTACTAAGTCATGGTTTCCTTGTCTTTGGGTACACAGCAATCGCAGTTTGCATAATAAATAGGTGGCATGTGGTTGTGGTCCTTTTTGGCATAACTATTAATATCCCTGTTTGTTTGTTATCCTGAAAATAAGGACCCAAATTACAGTTTGGTTTGCTTTTAAAAAATTTCCTTTTTTAAAAAATTTTATTATTTTTGTGTGAGTGTACCGTCAAATCAGATCTGACTGGTACAGGAGGAGATTGTTCCTCCTTTCCCCGGCAGAGCATCTGGTGGATTTGAACCGTGCGCCTCTGGGATTGTAGTTGCAGCTCCTTTCCACTAGAAAAATTTCCTTCTAATTGAGGGAAAGTTTACAAATCATTTCTATTTTTTTCAGTCATTTGTATACATTTTGTTTTACAGTGTTATCATTACAATATAGTTTTATCATTCATATACTTTTTTATATTAATAATAGATTAACAGAATTCATTATTGCAATACCTGATAAACATTTTATATTGCCTTTCCATTCACTCAATTTATCTGTTTACTATTTTTTCTTCTCCTTATTCCTTGTAATCATTTAAAATGAGTTCTATCTGTAAACCTTTCTTTAGATTTTCTAACAGTGAACTCTATAACAATGAATGGAGTGGAGTGATACCACGATAGTCCTTTTTCACTGTTTTATTTTGCTTGGCTCATGCCTTCTAAGTGCATCCATTGTATGAAGTGTTTCCTGATGTACTCTTTCTTGTGGTATTGCTGATTTCTTTGTCCCATTTACTTAACTGTGCTGGGTTAATTTTGTGTGGTTTTTTTTTTTATGATGGTTTGGGTTTTTATTGGCTTGCTTGATTTACAATGTTTTCAAGATTTATCCATTTATAGAATGTATACATACATATTTTTTTATTTTTTGGTAATTTTAAAAATTTTAATCATTTTAATGAACATTTACAGAGATTTTGGATTTCCATTCATTCATTGCTGCACTTCTCTCCCCGCCCAGCCCTCCCCCTACCCCAGTTCCCTCCTCTCTTTGAAAAGTAAAACTCCCTCCCTGGTACACAATCTCCCCCGCACCCCTCCTACCACCCCAAGTACATTCCACTATGCAACCTTAATTGTGGACTCCTGTTGTTTATGTTTCTTATAATTTTCTTCCTAGTTGTTATCTTAGTACTTTCTAAATCTGTATTATTATTGTCTCCTTCTTTATTTTGATGAGGTTTAGTAATTCTCTTCGTGGTTACCCTGTAAATTACTATTTTAGTCTCAAATCTAAAACATCTCACTTGGTTTTGAACTCGCCTTCCTTTACTTCCTCTTCATTTAAAAGTTTGAAGCAAACAACAAATGCTGGCGATGTTTCAGAGAAACTGGAACTCTTATTCACTGTTGGTGGAAGGGTAAAATAGTGCAACCACTATGGAAGGCTGTATGTCACTTTCTCAAAAAAGTTGCAAATAGAAATACCATTTGATCCAGCAATTCCACTACTGGGAATATACCCTAAAGAAACCATAACTGCCACCCAGGCAGATATATGCACACCCATGTTTATAGCGGCTTTGTTCACAATAGCAAAGAGTTGGAAACAACCTAAATGCCCATCAACAAACAAATGGATAGAGAAGCTCTGGTATATTCACACAATGGAATACTATGCTGCATTGGGAAACAAGGAACTCATGCAATATTATTCAAAATGTGTGACCCTGGAGGACATTATGCTGGTGAAATATCTCAGCACAAAAGGACAAATACTGCATAGTGCCACTGTTGAAGAACAGGACTGACATCAGGGTTGGGGTGAAACTGAGGAACAATTGGATACATTATGTATATTGCGTTGAAACAGATGAGGGAGAGAACGGTTTAAAAGCGATATATGATTGGGCATTATGGTTATGACAGGAGTCCAGAATGAAGGTTGCATAGTGGAGTGTACTTGGGGGGGGGGGAATTGTATATCAATGAAGGAATTTTTCCTTTATTTTTCAAAGAGAAGAGTGAACT